TCTTCCACGCCCAATTAACCATTCACCGTGACGCCAGGATCCACCAAATTTTCACAAAAATTGTTTTCCGTCTAATTAGCGAGTTTTTCCTTACTTTCCGTTAAAGTACAAATAAAAAGAGACCTCATTTGTAAAAATCGGCCGAATAGGAGAGAAGTTACAGTTTACAGTTCGAAATCCAAAGCGATTAACTCAACGCGATTTCGATGCACGGCAATTCGCCCAAATCACGGTCGTGCGAAATGCCGCATATCAGCTTAAAATCAAGATAATTGGACGGAATCTTTAAAATCAATTTACATTCAACGTTCAAGAATCAATATTTTCTCCCAAATTTAGCAAAAAGTACCAATTGATGCAAATAACAAAGACGTGAAAATAGTAGGTATGTGTCCAACATTTTAGTTATTCGGCACGCTTTTCCAACATATTCATGTTGGATTTTTCTGCTTGTTTATATTAGAGGAGGCCAGAAAGCTTAGGAAGGGGGGCAAAATTTGAAGTAAGCGGGAAATGTTGAATCTTGGTCCGTTCGTAGGGTAAGTGAATCGGAGGTATGCTCCTCTCCTATAGACTATCCAAAAGCGACGAAATGCTCCGTTCCGTTTCGTGTAAGTCTTGGCGTGAAGTTTAGATACAAACGTTTCAGCTAAAATGAGTGTTTCTCAATGTTTTAGGGTCTAAACTAAAAGGCTAGCATGCTTAGACCCTCAAACCTTTTGAGCCAAAAAATCTCCCTTATTTTATCCCCATCCCCAATTTACTATAATGGGTCGCATCCTTTCCCTCCGTTACACTAACTTCATCGTACTCTATTTTCCTAGATGCCCGTTCTACACAAATTGCGTCACTCAAAAACATCGTCACAAATGGAATTATCCTTCAGGGATGTGATTTAAGCAATAATTTGGCAAAACTGTGTTGAAGGAATTGCCAAAAATAATTACATTAGCTGACCGACAGACTGATAACCAACCTTTAAAGATAACGTGTAACGTGTAAAATTTGTAATTCCTTCTAACACGTCGATGTCGTTAGTCCGCAATCACAAATCTCGTTTGCGGTGTCTGAAAATCTCCGCTTCTATGTTATTTTTTTAAAGGAGAACAAATTGACATGATTCTTGAAGTTTTTGCAAAATTTTCTTCGCACAGAGAAGAAAAATCACAGCAGTTTTAAAGAATTGCCGTTGAGTATTTTTTCCGTTTTAAAAAAAAGTTTGACGTCGCAAACCGAGTTATGTGATTGACGACTTACACCGTCGATATGTACTTGTCGCTTCAAAGCACTCACTGAAAAAAAAAAAAAAAAAAAAAAAAAAAAAAAAAAAAAAAAAAAATTGAGATATTGTTTTAACTCAAAGCGTCATTTCTTGTCGACCAAATTTGGTTGTTTGAGTTAAAGAAACGTTGTTTTGCTATCGATCAGTTTAAGTTAAAAAGCGATGACAAAACAACGTTTCTTTATTTCAATAATACTGACTTAAAGTCAAATCCGCACAGTTTTAACTGTAAAATCAAACTCAATTTTGTCGACAAGAAACGACGCTTTTAGTAAAAATAATATCTCAAGAATCTTTTACTTTCTCGCTCCCCTAGGGTAGAGGAAGTATTGTCACCCTGCAAGGGGGAAAAAAGTTGGAATTTCATCATTTCTAGTTTTTCAGTGCTCCCTGGCATTCGCAATTACACGTTACTGCACTAAATTGCAAAATTATTTCAGTTTTTTTGTTATACTGTGCTACTCGGGACGGGGGCTGATCTGCCGTGCTAATAAGGAAAAACGCCGTAAGAGCATTCAGACGTTGCCGTATCTCCTTCAATAAAGCACGAATTTACAGGGAAAATTCTGAATATTTTTCTCACAATGTTTCAGATATTTTAGATTCAATCGTGAGCAAAAAATCTCTGAAAAAATGTAAGAAAAATATTCAGAATTTTCATGAATTTTGTAAATCGCGATATATGGCGCTTTAATCTCGATTTTATCGACGAAAAATGATCGCGATTTTATTGAACATATGCATAGCGATTTAATTGCCATAAATTGCAATTTTTTATTCGATAATACTGCGATAAATTGCCACCGATATAATCGCGATAATCAACCGATAAAATCGCTATTTATCGCGATCACTGCTACTCGGGACCGTCGAAATGTTTCGATTAATCCTGCTGGCAATAATATCTGCAATATAACACACATTTAAAAATTAAAACCGGATTGATAGACATCGTAATCCAACTTTATCATGTAGTACTTTGGTTGATCTGCTTTCGGGCTTCCCTCTATTAAAAGCTAAAAACGGCCTCTGATGATACTCTTTTTGTCATTTCATTCGGATCTGGCTAAACGAATTTTTTTTTGGATATTCAGCAATTTGTATGTTAATCATCCACGCGCTCACTTTAGTTGGACGTATTTCTGTCAAACGGAACTATGTGCATTATGGTTTGAGCCCTGTTATGCATATCGACGGTGAAACTACCAAACCACGTATCTCGTTTGCGGTGTTTAAAAATCTACGCTCACATTTTATTTTTTGGAGGTAGACCAAATCAATATCCAGGGTGTCTGCGGGTCTGGAAAACCGGGAAAACCGGGAAAACCGGGAAAAATCAGGGAATTTGATCACTGTCTGGAAAACCGGGAAAAGACAGGGAATTCGATCGAAAACCGGTGAAAGTCAGGGAATTTTCGCAATTCCAACATTTCGAGGCTATTTTTGCTCGTCACTGCCGAATTGGCCGAGTAGCGCGCTCGCGTGGCTGATAATGTAAACTGCTCTGTTCAACCAGTTTGCAACACGGCCGCTAGGTTCACTAATGTGTGTTCACTAACTTTAAAGATCGAATCGATCTGCCCTATTTAATTTATCTACTTAATTCATGCCAAATGGCAAGATAGACTAAATAGACTTGAATGAAGTTCACTTGCTAACAGCAGAAAATTACAGTAAATAATGATAGGAAACTAAGTGCCCCAGTTTGGAGCCGACGGTTAATCAATTTTTTCAATAAGTTAGGAAATTTAATGAAAGTGCCAGAATTTTAGTTTTTCTTTAACTGAGTAAAGAAATATTTAATGTCAACTGCATTTTGCACGAAATTTTTCTGGTTCTTAAATCAACATGTTCACAGCTGGTGCATCCATCTTGTAGAAATATTATTGGTGGATTATATTCTAACAAGCCAACGTTTGTTGAGTATAAGACAAATTCAATACCAACAATAGGTTCTGGAATCCATTGAATTAATTGGCCTTAAATTAAAAAAAAAAAATCCCGAATCAAACTTCATCTAAAATCGAGGAGAAACTCGTATTTCCTCTTGATTATAGCAAAATCTACCTGAGTTGGGCACATTTACAACTCTTGTTTTATATTTTAAGAAAAAGAGACTTGTATTTTCAGGGCACTAAGTAATATGCCAATCTTTATGAAACCACCAGGGTGAACTATAGTTTGAATTTTCAAAAGTATACGGGGCAATATGTCACGAAGAAAGCGTAGTAGAGCTTGAAAATTTTTGAAGGTGAATTTTAGTCTGAGTATACCATTTTGGAATCAGCTTTATTTTGAGTATTTAGGATCTCGTTCCTTTCAAAAGTATTACTCAACTCCTTCCAACGCCATGGTAATTCAGAATATGACTTTACGGGGTCATTCCTAAGGATAGTTTTTTTTTTAATATTTTCTAACTAGTTCATCGTATGGCTAAACCCAAAAAGTCAGGGAATTTTGTCATTTTTTGTCATGGAAAACCTGGAATTGTCAGGGAATTTCATTTTGAAAATCTTGTAGACACCCTGATATCATTCTTTGAAATTTTCACAGAATTTTCTCCGCACAAAGAGGAAAAATCACAGAAATTTTCAAGACTAGATGTTAAGTAGTTTTTCATTTAAAAAATAAAGTATGACAGGAAGTCTGCGACGTCGCAAACCGAGATACGTGGTTTGGTAGTTTCACCGTCGATATATTCTTATGGGTATCAGGGCTCATGCCTTAGTGCACATAGTTCCCTTTGACAGAAATACGTCCAATTATTTCTACAGGACTAAATTCTATCTGAAAATCTGCAATTTTTGAAAAATTTATTTTTCTAAATTCACATTTTTACTTCATTCTTCAGCTTCACTCACTTAATGCGGCATCGTTTTAAAATTCGTGAAGCAGGAAGGTTTTTTTCCTCTTCCCCCTCCCCCATCCTACACTAAGCTTGATTAGAGAATGGGTCGCAGAAAGTAAAAAATCCAATCGAGAGAAAAGTCAGTTGAAGTAATTAGACCAGTGGAGCTCTCCTGAACATTTGAATTGCGTCCAGAGTCCTGGGAAGGTGTTCGAACAAAAAAGTCGTTTTCAGCGCGTTTTCGTTCACCGTTAGTAGAAACATTGCTAACGGTAGATACGGTGTATTCTGTAGGACAAAATATTACTCGAATAAACATAAACTTTTTCAGCGCATGAATACGAAGTTCAGCGTGTTACAGTTTCAGCCCCTATATCTAGTGACAATGGATCCGTTCTTCTATTGCTTTGGAAATCCTGTTAGTCACGGAAGGTGTATCCAAAGTTGCCGCTTGAGATTTTGAAGGAGTTTTAGCGCTCCTCCAAACTTTAGATTCAACGCATTTGACGGGATTGTACTGCCGTGCTAAGGAAAAACGCCGTATGAACCTTCAGACATCGCCACATTTACTTCAATAAAAACCTAATTTACTGAGAAAATTTTGAATATTTCTCTTCAATTTTTTCAGACAATTTATCTCGCAACTTTAATCTAAAATATCTAAAAATTCCAAGGAAAAATACGCATTACTATTCTTTAAAATGCATGTTTTATGCAGGGAAATTTGGCAACTCCCATATTTCATACGGCGTTCCTCCACAGCATGGCAGTGTAAAGCTCGGGGGTGTAAAGTGTTCCAAATTTTCAGATGAATAAAACATTTTAATTTTTTTAGAAATTTACAAATTCAGTGCAAAAACAATATTAAAATATTAACTCAGATCAGTTTTATATTTAGTAAAATATATGTGTAAAAATTTTAAATCCTGAAAGTAGAAAAAAATGGGAATTGTATAAAAATAGTTCGAGAGAACTATTGCGACTTATTCACGACATTCTGGAATTACATGAATAAATAAATAAATAAATAAATAAATCAAGATTTATGGAATGCCTCTCTTTCATGCTATCTCCGCGTTGGGTTCATCCACACTTCTTCGGTACGGGATGCTGCTTCTCATTTCCTTATAGTAACTATACACAATCGTGCAAATGTAGAAATTTAGTGCTGAAACACCGTAAGAAAGTTAAGTAAGAAAAAGACTCAGAAATAAAATTGTAAGTGTTATAATTCTTGATTACTATTACTTGAACGTATTTATGCTAATAAATACGAGCTAATCGGAAATGAGCTAAATCAAAAAGAGCTACCTCAAACGGCAGGGACACAATTTCTATTTATTTGATTCATTCTCAGCAGGGCCGGATTTTCCTACTTGCCCCCCATGCGCCACCTGTATTTTGCCGCCCTCTTCTGATTCGTTTTGAAACATCAATAAAAACCATCGACTGAACGTGCCAGCGAGGGAAGGGTGCATAAAACGCGTTTACTCGTGTTGGACACATTTTTTGGGAAAGCCCTATCAACACTACTAGCAAAAGGTCACGGAACTTTGCGCGAAAGTCAAGTTTCGTATAAACCTATCTCTAATGGACAAGGCCTTCCATTCATAAGAAATGAACGAAAAAATTATGAAAGAACAAACACAAAATTTGGTTTAATGATTTTAACTTCCCCCGCCGCGCCGCGTCGACCGCACCGTGTTTGGCGCACTGCGTGAAGTATTCACGCAGTCTTGTAGGCGCTATGCGTTTCACGCTGACCGCATTGTGTTTGGTGCAATGCGTGAAGTATTCATACATTCTTGTAGGTGCTATCCGTTTCACGCTGACCACAATAACCGCACTGTGTTTGATGCAATGCGTGAAGTATTCGTGCAGTCTTGTAGGCGCTAATACGTGTTACATGCCGATTGCCGCGCCGAGGGCTTCTCCTTTTCATCTCAAGTCCTCGTCATCATTTCTCCCTAAGTCGCGCCGTTCCAGGCCAAATTGTGTGTTTGGTTTCTCTCTTAACTCGACTAATTAAAGGTGCTGTCTCTTGTATCACTGAAAGACGACAAAATTAGAAATTACTATACTCTCAGGAAATGAGAGATTTTGCAGCCTTTTCTCGTTTGTAATTTTTTTTCTAAATCCGATTTTTTTTATACCTACATTTAAAAAAATTGCAAAATTTGCCGCTCCCTAGATTTGCCGCCATGGGCCGCAGCCCATGTGGCCACCCCATAATCCGGCCCTGATTCTCAGTTAGTTCCTTTTAGCATAAACACGCCCACTCATGTTTTTCAGTGGAGTTTCTAAAATCGTCAAACGCAATTGAACAAAATAAATAAAAAACGTAAGGATAAATAATACCGAAAAAAATAATATGCTGTTTTAGAATCTAGGATGTCAAAAATGTGTCTGGTGATCCCAAGATGCTGCCTTTACTGCCCCCTCAGTTGAATTTGCATTCACAGGATGTAAAATTAACTGCGGGGGCAGTAAAAGCAGCATCTTGGGATCACCAGACACATTTTTGACATCCTAGATGCTAAAACAGCATATTATTTTTTTCGGTGCAGTAATACTCAATGCAAAAGCCCTCTGTTACAAGCACATCAAGTATCGTTAGGTCGTTTCTAAATATCTATTAATTTTATTACGAATGCAACTTATAGTCCTTTTATCAGTTTTTCAATTTTTGTCACTTGGTTTTTGTGTTCTAATAATCCTTCAATTTCTCAATTTTGAAGCCAGTCACGGTGCCCCTGAACTCACTTTAAATGCGACTTTGTTGTACATCAAAAATTCAAGTTGGAGGTTGTAGTGGGGTACCCCCTGATGGGTTTTTGGGCAATTTCGAAATAGGTTGTCGGAGCTCCTCGAAAAATAATCGCATTTTTGTGGTTTTTTAGGGGTAAAATAGCAAAATTGGCCTCGGGGCGACAAATTAAACCCCCTCTCCCTCATCCTGGCTTTGACCGATCTGAATTTTTAGTATGTTTTTACCTAGTATAAGATGGGACTTTTCTGAAATTTTCATGCCCATACAATTTTTTTTGCTCCCGCAGCAGCGTTGCCAAGTTGCGGACTCCAAAATATCGAATTTAATGATAAAATGAAGGTTTCGGAGTGTGATTTCCATTCAAAATCAAAAATTCAAATTGTAAGTTGTAGTAGGGTACTGCCTGATAGGGTTTTGGCCAATTTCGAAGTAGAGTGTTTGAGATTTTTGAAAAATTATCGAATTTTTGCGGTTTTTTAAGGGTAAAATAGCACACTGAGCACGGGGCGGCAAGTTAAACCTTTTCTCTCTCATCCTTGCCGTGACCGATCTGAACTTTTAGTATGTATTAACCTGGTATAAGATGTGACTTTTCTGAAATTTTCATGCCCATACAAAATTTTTTGCCCCCCGCGGCAGCGTTGCCAAGTTGCGGACTCAAAAATATCGAATTTGATGATAAAATGAAGGTTTCGAGGTGTGATTTCCTCCAAAATTTCACGAAAAATGTGCAATCTGAGAGTTTTCGATAAGAAAAGGCATATTCGAACAATTTAGAGTTGCAGTGTTGCCAGCTTTCGATTTAAAATTCGTCAAAATGACCCAAATCGCGTTGCAACCTCAAGCGCTGGATTTTTATTTCGTTCAGAATTGGTTATTACGGTTCTTCTGTACTTTATGCATTTAGGTACCATGAAAATTATGCCATTACTTACTTGATGGGTGCAGCTAACTCAAAAAGAGAGGCCGGATAAAGCGATGAGTCGGGGGAAAACGAGCGGTTCGGGTAGACAGAAAGTTCTTAAATCTACTTTATCACCAGAAAGTAGAATTTGAGAACTTTCTCCCACCCCCCAAACCTTATCCCTGTTGCAGTCAATCCTTTGAACATCTTATCTGAAATTTTGCCCCCGAATTTTTCCCAAAAACATTAAAAATAAAAACACAAATAAAACGGGTGGATAACAACGATTCAAATAACTCTATGAAGTCCCTGAATTCGACCTCCTCTCATACAGCGGATTGGATAGTTCGAATCCAGAAGACTTCTTACTGTAAAGAATATACCTTCGACAATTTAAAGAATAAAAAAATTACAAAAGATCACAATAAATTTGAGTAATGTTGAAAATAAACTCCCTCATAAAAACAAAAAAAATAAACTAGATGACGAAATTATGACTTTTTATGATCGGAACAAACCTGATGGAGTCCATCTAAATTCAAGAGGCCTCTTGATCATCTGGAATCTCATGCAACAGAGTTTGCCGTGCATGAATGGTATGTTTCCTTATTTAGTCCAGAAATATTTTATTTTTCGGAATGTCAAACATGTCTTATACAACCAAAAATTTACAAAGCATTTTTAATTTCGTCATCTAGTTTATTTTTTTTATGAGGGAGTTTATTTTCAACATTACTCAAATTTATTGTGATCTTTTGTAATTTTTTTATTCTTTAAATTGTCGAAGGTATTTTCTTTACAGTAAGAAGACTTCTGGATTCGAACTATCCAATCCGCTGTATGAGAGGAGGTCGAATTCAGGGACTTCATAGCGTTATTTGAATCGTTGTTATCCACTCGTTTTATTTGTGTTTTTATTTTTAATGTTTTTGGGAAAAATTCGGGGGCAAAATTTCAGATAAGATGTTCAAAGGATTGACTGCAACAGGGATAAGGTTTGGGGGGTGGGAGAAAGTTCTCAAATTCTACTTTCTGGTGATAAAGTAGATTTAAGAACTTTCTGTCTACCCGAACCGCTCGTTTTCCCCCGACTCATCGCTTTATCCGGCCTCTCTTTTTGAGTTAGCTGCACCCATCAAGTAAGTAATGGCATAATTTTCATGGTACCTAAATGCATAGAGTACAGAAGAACCGTAATAACCAATTCTGAACGAAATAAAAATCCAGCGCTTGAGGTTGCAACGCGATTTGGGTCATTTTGACGAATTTTAAATCGAAAGCTGGCAACACTGCAACTCTAAATTGTTCGAATATGCCTTTTCTTATCGAAAACTCTCAGATTGCACATTTTTCGTGAAATTTTGGAGGAAATCACACCTCGAAACCTTCATTTTATCATCAAATTCGATATTTTTGAGTCCGCAACTTGGCAACGCTGCTGCGGGAGCAAAAAAAAATTGTATGGGCATGAAAATTTCAGAAAAGTCCCATCTTATACTAGGTAAAAACATACTAAAAATTCAGATCGGTCAAAGCCAGGATGAGGGAGAGGGGGTTTAATTTGTCGCCCCGAGGCCAATTTTGCTATTTTACCTCTAAAAAACCACAAAAATGCGATTATTTTTCGAGGAGCTCCGACAACCTATTTCGAAATTGCCCAAAAACCCATCAGGGGGTACCCCACTACAACCTCCAACTTGAATTTTTGATGTACAACAAAGTCGCATTTAAAGTGAGTTCAGGGGCACCGTGCAGTATGAATTATTTTGCTGACTTTGGCCAGTGGTCCGTCAGTAGTACTTGTACAATGAAAAACAAATCCTGCCATGGGGTTGTATAGACTTACCGTCCACATTATGGGCTTAGGGGCCGAAACTTCCAGAGGGGGCACCCGGAGCGAGCGAAGATACGGCTCCAGTACCCGGAACTTTCGGCCTCTGAGTCCGGAACGGACGGTAAGTCTATATAGACCATAACTTTGTTTTCAAAGTACTGGAAGTGCTTTCTCCTCCGAGGTATGGAAAAATAAATTTATAAATTAAAATAGAATAGTTGAAAGCACTCCAGATTGAACGGGAAGAGAAACTTACCGAAATTTAATATCAGTGATAAGGGGTGGTAAACTGCTTCATAAATGTCTTGATCATGATTCTTGATCGGCAGCATACGTTCCATGTCCCCTCGGAGATTGGTAAAGATGAACATTGGAAAATTAAGGAGTAGGTCGATGCCTTCAATGATAGCCGACGCTATGAATGGTGATAAAAATGTTGGTTTTTGCTGTAAAGAATTAAAAAGCAGAAGATGAAAAACTTTCACAAATTAAAAATTGCTGCCGTTATAGCAAAGATAGCAGTGACTGTCAATTTTTCGAAATCGAGTTTTCTTCAATATTCGTCTAATCTCTTTTAGATGAAATGACTGAAATGTCTAAAATAGCACGATTCATATTATTTTCATGAAAACGAGACATGTGAGGTAGCCGTAAGTGCGCAAAAAATTTCGTAGTTTCAGGCAAAACATCCGTAAGTGTCATTATTCCTCCAGAGAGCCAATGAGAGCAGTCTTTTCAAGTAAAATTCAGCCCACTTCTGCCAATTTATAACCTGAAAAAATTTTATTTTTTATTTTATTCTTGCAGTTTATTTGGCTTCTATTCCAGTTTATTTATTTATTTATTAAAACTTTGTACATGGGAGCCCCATTATTAGGGCTATGGCACAGGTCAAGAAACACTATACAATAATTAAAAATATAAATTACAACTGTACATTAGTTGGTGGTTAGAACGTTATTCAACAGATGAGTTTAGAAACTCGTTCAAATTATAAAAAGCCTTGCTCAAAAGAAGATCGCGAAGTAAATTGAAAAATTTCCGGATATCACCGTCGCGGAGTTGTTTTTTGATATTCCAAGGTAGAGCATTTATAATTTGGATAGCCGAAAATTTGCAATCTTGCTCAGATAGTTTCAATCGGACTTTTACGTTTTTGATATCTCTATGTCTGCTGTTGTAATTATGAGACGGTAGAAGATCAGAGGGAGATACCAATCCATTTGAGATTGCAAACTTTAGGCTATCCAAGATATAAAGGGAGGTCAGGGTGAACAATCTATGCTCTATGAAGATTGGGCGGCAGTGGGCATTCCAGGGCATATTAAACATAATTCTGACGAGCTTTTTTTGTAACATGAAAACTTGCTCTGCTCCAGTGCTACGGCCCCACAGGATTAGTCCGTATCTCATATGGGAAACAACATGGGCATGATAGAATGCTAAGCAACACTGAAGGGTAGATATTCTTGACAGGTTGCGCAGGGCCCAAGATGCTCGGCTTAATTTACATATGACTTTACTGGTATGTTCTTTCCAGTCCTTTCCAGTTTAGGTAACTACAGCCATCTTTTTAGACAAGAAAACCTGAAAATGTGTTTTTTGTGTGTCTAAAACGCTATCACGAAAGCATGTAGAATTTAGCACTTACGGCTGTCTTGCCCAACAATAATCTAGCACGAAAATGAAAAATACCCTTTTTATGTAATTGAAATAAAATCGGTTGATTTTCAATCATCCAAACGATTTCTAGAAGTCTTCCGGATGATAAGTGGCAATTTGAGAAATAACGGAGGCTTATTTCAATAAAATTTTCCGTCCAGACGCTTATGCACCCGTTTTCTCAAAACTCCATTTTTGCACTTGCTCCCTTCGCTATCACGGCAGATTCGAGGATGTAGAACAACTCGTGGCTATAAACTTCTCCGCAAAAGGGGCACTCAAGTTGGGTTTAAATTTTTCATGAAAAACCGACCCAGAGGCAAGCGACCCTTCAATGAACTCTTGGGGATAGGTGGAAGCTTTTACTTTCGGGGATTCAACACTTATTCCTCATGGACAATAATTCCAAGGGAGCAACAGTCATCTTACCTACTATGTGGATGATGAGCTTTGGGTGACATCATTAGCCAAACAAGCTTCCCAAACTTCGGTTTGTTTCAGTGGCGTGGCGTGCTATTCGATATATCGATTATTCTGCCATTTAAACCTATGGAATAATATCGATTAATAGGGTGTTCGCAGCGAACACCTTAATAGTCGATTCTTTGCCATAGGTTTAAATGGCCGATCAATCGATATATTGCAAATCACGCCACGCCACTGGTTTGTTGGCAAAACGAAAATCCCAACACGCTATTAAGATGATTCGATGGACGCCATATTTTGTGTCAAAACGACATGCGATATTTTGCATCGATTGGTTCCATTTTTTCAGCTACTTGTCATTTTTTTCGAATTTTGAGATTGCAATTCTGTTGTCAGGAGACTAATGAATTCGCTTACCAATTTTGACTAAATTTAACGTAATGTAGGCATGGTTTTTGTAGAGAGAAAATGTTGCATTCAAGTGCAATTTCGATATTGGTATCAAATGCGATATATTTCCTCTAAAAAAAACCACTCCTATATTACGTTGAATTCGTTCGTCAAAATGGGTAAGCGAATTCATTAGTCTCCCGACAACAGAATTTCGATCTCAAAATTCGAAACAAATGACAAGTATGTGAGAAAATGGAACTAATCAATGCAATACATCGCATGTCGTTCTGACACAAAATATAGCGTTCATCGAACCACCTTCACCATCAACTTAGTAGACAGGTCATACACAGAGCCAAGAGACCCTGCACTAGTATCTTGGCCATTATGGAAGCTTTTACATTCGGGACTTCAGCATTCCACTGTTGACTTTATACCTACATGGTTGATGTTTAAAAACGTGTTGGCAGTTTCGTTTTGCAAACAAGTCGAAAATGGCCGAAGTTTGTGAAACTTGTTTGGCTCGTGACGTTACCCGAAGCTCATTGTCAAACTTAGTTTCATATCAATTTTCTTCATAAGTGCACTCCCTTTGACATGATGTATATACCTAATTAATCATCCACTTGGTAACTCTTTTCTGAAAATTTTCATTCGGTATACGTCAAAAGATCAATATTTGGACTGTGCATCCATAATTGAACCATGGGTAAATGCTTTAAATTAAAAGGAACTAAAAAGAGCGCAAGTCCTATACAAAGCTCCCTCTTTTTATTTAATTCCTTTCGAAACTGATACGTACATTTGGACGTACATATATTTCTGCCGAACTATGTACAATTGAACATGAGCCCTGACCCATAAGAATATAGGTGTGCATGATAGGGCTCACGTCATAATGCACATAGTTCCGTTTGGCAGAAATACGTCTAAGTAAGGATGTACCTACCTTATACACCCCAAATAAAAGCATGAGAGCAGCAATTGTGCCCAAAGCCCCTAATATGAATTCCTTTATCATAATGACTACTGCTATTTGCTCTCCTGAAACATTAAGAAAGACAAAAGTTTAGGCGGAAAAAATATAAGCTTTAAAACGACTAAAATCATGCTTGTAAAAGAGTTGACGAGAATGTGCGCGTATCAGGAGAGGTTTACTTACATTTCTTTCTGGGCAAACCTGATCGCCGCACAGTGGAACAAGCTAGTAGAGGAGGTCTGACATGAAATTTAGGGCTAAAATTTCAAGTTTTGACGTTTATTTTGCGACATTATCAATTCCACAGGGCGTTTCTGAAAGGAATTTTCATGATAAAACCAATGAAACCACTCTCAAACTTTCTTATTTTATATTATCAAAGATATACTTTCAAAGTTTCCAAATGTCGTCCGACTTTTCCTACTTTCTAGTTCCTTTGTGCGCCGACCACGAGGAAAAAAGGCCCACGCCACGGGGACAGGGAATACAAAAATGCGTGATGTGGACTCCACAAATTGTGCGTTTAAGAAAAGCCTCCGGACTTTTCAGATTTTTGAGCTGGTTTTCCTTTAAAATACCATTTATTAATCTGCATCTCTTGTCTCTGACAGATAAAGTGGGCACTAAAAATTAATCGCCATGGCCTTTTGATCATGAGCAAAAATGTGAAAGGTTAGTATGTTAAAAGTCTTGGAGTAAAATTGGGATGAAATTCAACACGGAGCCAATATTTTGCCCCCCCCCCCCAACCCGAATGATACAAGTGCTGAACGAATTTCATTCCTTTTGGGGGGGGGGGAATTCTGCTATATAACGGGACGGGTTTCCCTTAAATTCATAGCATTCGGTTTTATTGGGGGATAATTGTCTTCGGGAGGGAAATTCTTTTCGGATTCCACTCCAAGATTTCTAACAGTGAACACAAAAAAATTATTTTTAACAACCATATTGAAAGAGTGGTTATCTAGATACTTGTAAGTAAGACCAATTTTTTCTTTTCAAATACCTCCATGAATAAACTAGAGGATACTGGTACTTACCAGACGGTAACTTACTCTGAGGTACAAGGCTTTAGATGTTTTGAGGATAAACTAACCTGTACTTTCAATGCTGTGATATCCGCTGATGAATTTGATCGTATTCGGTAATCCAATTGGAAAATCAAGCACTCCTATAGCCTGGGAAGCAAACAAAAACACGTGATTTCAGTTTTATTTTATTAATATCTGCTTCGTTTTCTCTAAAAGAGTTAACTTATTGTTAGACTCACTAACTTTGTGTGATATTTCATATTGTCTAGTGGTCCATTAAAACTTTTCACAGAAAAGGTAGTTCCACAGGGGGAGAATGTGAATTATCGTGCTCTTGTGAGCGTAGACGGTATATTTGGTTCACAACCACGAGAAAAGGTTTTTCATTTTGAGGGGGCAAAGTTTTCAAAGGGTAATTTTTTTTTAATTGGATCGAAAGTTGGATGTTGAGATTTCGATGGAAAACTCTTTATAATCGTCATTTCCCGCGGACGAAAGAATTTAACTGTAGTTTAACTATCGGTCCATTGTGCTCAGCCAGCACTTCTCGATATCAAAGCTAAAGCACAAAAGAAACTCACATCCTGCGCCTGCATGAAACTATTCGTGCCTAGCAGTTATCATTGCAGTATATACGAATAATTGAAGGCGATATATCTGTCATTTTAAATCCTCGCAGTGAGGCCCACCGTTGCGTGCGGGCCGCGGATGAATAGTGAATGCCTCCATAGTGAAAACGCCTTCAACTCCGTGCGTATGCAATCCGGACATCCTTGAAGATCGAATAGTTGCAACTAGGCGTTATAATGAAACTCGCTTAGTGTTCGTCGCATGCGATACTGACTGCGAGCGCTATGCTTGTTTCGCCTTGTAACTTCCAGCGCTGCCTATTGTGCCAATGAAGTATATTAATACTGATTTTTAGTGCGGATTTGTCAATTTTCAGAATTTGCTTTGATTTGCCGTCCTAAAATGTGGGCTGCGGCTACGGCCCTTACCTTTTCTCGTCTAAGAACGACAAGAGCGGCGAAGTTGGAAAATCGGTCAGATAGATTTCAAGATCTCATTGGTACAAAGAATCGCTTTTTTTTCAAATGGATAGACTAACGCCAACTCAAGAGAGACCCCGTAGTTGGTCATTTTCCCTACAGTTAATAACCCGTTTCAGCCAATAGGATCACTCCATTTTCCCTTCGTCTCATTCTTGTGTCGCTTTGTCTACCGATTTCAATAATCAGCCCACTGCTCCTTACAGATTTATACTAACTGCATAGAATACATACTGAATTACAAAACACTTACTGCAAAAGTCCAACCTATGATGAGTGTGCCCGTCCTCAAAGGAAAACCACAGCAACTGTTCAGTTTCGGGAACCATGAATCGGACCCCATGATGCTCCGTTGTGATGAAAACGCGCTTCTGGAAAAGATAATGGAAATTCTGTTACTTCCTTGGAAGTATGTGTTTGGTACATACGTACTCTTCACTGAAAATCAAATTTTCCCTCTACTTTCTGATCTCCAAACCATCCTTTCAAAGTATTTTCGTGAAATCCCTCTCTTTTTCAAACGAATTAATCTCTAAATTTAATGTATTCTTTCCTTTTCCTAACTTTTAACTTTGTACTACCTTTTGTGACCCCTACTTTTTAAATTTTAAAATTATCTTGATCTCTCCTCTAAGGTTTTAATGGCTCAATTGTTAAAAACACCAAATAAACGTATCTACCAACCAACCATTCTTATTTGATTCGTTCATTTTGGCATAAGATTGCTTTTGAAAGTTCGAGGATAAAATAAAAGAAAATAATGAAAAACATATTGTGCGAGTATACAGGGTGATCCAGGGATGAACGACCAGACTCCAGAGGCGTGTCCTATGGGTCAAAATAAGACTTTTTTGTTGTAAAAAAGTTTTTTTTCCAAAAGTGCCCCCAGTTGGAGCCACGGCCCCCAAACAAATATCAGAGTGTAGATCATTATTTATCCTGAATTTTGGCAACGTTCGAGGACTAAATCGGCGGACTAAAGCTTTGTTTTTCTGAATCCGATTTTTCTTTATACCTGCATTTCAAAAAATTGCAACATTTGCCGCCCCCTAAATTTGCCGCCATGGGCCGCGGCCCATGTGGCCACCCCCTAATCCGGCCCTGATTTCAAGCCATAAAGTTGACTTGGACTCTGCTAGACGGGACTAAAGACGTGTGGAAAAGATGGGGTGCGCTCTTGGTGAGCTGCAGAAGAAACAATGTAAAAGTGGGCGTGGTTCTTTATCGGGAAATAGAAAAGCGGAATTTTACATCGGATCAAATGGAACTAAGCGCCAACTATATGCTAACTCATGATGAGCCGTGGGCATATGACAAGAGCGTTGTGGACAGGGCTCATGAGTTAAAGACTCCCACGATGGGCCGCGGTTGCGGCCTTGTCGCCGCTGACGTCACTGGCGCTTTATAATTCCCATTCATTCTTACGGCCCTCGACTAACGAGCACACCCCTTATTTCCCACCTCTCTGGTTCTGTCCAGCAGAAATACGTCCACTTGTTCCTCTTCAAAAAAATAAGCCAGGAGCGGAAATTTTTGAAACATCGCAATGAAAAACGTGGTATTCCACTTAATATATGTCGCAGGAAAATAGTAAAAGCAGGCATTGTGTCAAATGCCTAGGCAAATAGTCAAATATTCTAACTTAGATTGAAATTCTGATTCTTTTCCTACTTTCAGACAAAATAATTCATTGCTCATGCAAGAAAAAATTCTCAGTGAAAAATTGCACACACGATAGTAGTTTCAACAATTTTAAGCTCCTGAAGAGACATTGATCTTGAAATTTTCAGCATGTCGTATAAAATACAGAATTTTTGGAATTTCAGCATTAAAAAATATGAGAGGTAATTGAAGAGGAAGAGACAAAAAGAGTTCGTAGGTTTGATGAGTTATATTTCCTAAAATATTGAAAACTCGTGAGCTCTTCGCCATAAATTCACAAAATTTTGTAGACCGTCAAAATTTAACCATATGCCTAGGCATTTGACAACGTAGCTACGGCTTCGGCACCCAGAACATTCGGCCTCTGAGCCCGGAACGCGGACGGTGTGTCTATACAGCCCGTAACTTTTTCTTCATTGCGCGATAAGAACTTATTTTTCTCTTAAAAACTGCGCTTTCCCTTGTCAAACGACACAGCTCTAAGCTTGTAATTTATTTACGTTTGGTCTGACGTTATAACGACGTATCGGTCGGCTATTTTGAGATGACGTTGATTCCAGCTGCTATTATTGCCCTTTCTGTTGAGTTTCTCAGCGCGTCTCATGGATGGATTTTCCTCGACATAACCTGAACGATCGCGATCCAGCAAAATCCGTGCGCCACGAGGCTAGCAATTCACAATAATTTTTAATCTGCTCTCAATTCACGCCACGCCACTTCTATACAGCCGTGTTAAGGAACGCCGTATGAACCTTCGGATGTTGCCAAATTTCCTTTGTTGAAACACAGATTTCCTGGTAAACTTATAAATATTTTTCTCCCAATTTTTCAGATAATTTTGTTCGCAATTTAACCTAAAGCTTCTGGAATTTCAAAGAAAAATATTCATAACTTTCCTTAAAAATAAGCATTTTACCGAAGGAAATTTGGCAACTCTCGAATGTTCATACGGCGTTCTTCCTTAGGACGGCAGTTTAACTGAGGAATCTATTGGAGTGCCGTAGGCTGGCGGGTATTAAGTTTTCTACAAGGCTGGATTTGATTCTTTACAAAGGCATGGCGTGAATTGCGATGTATCGATTGTTCTGCCATTGAAACCTACGGTAGAGAATCGATTATTAAGGTGTCCGCTGCGAGCACCCTGTTTATCGATCCTTATCCATAGGTTAAAATGACATAAGAATCGATATATCGCGAAGCACGCCGCGCCACTGATTCTTTAACACCTCTTGGTACAATTAAAGAGGGAGAAATTTTGTATCAAGGAGGTCCAGGAGAACTCGCCCCGAAAATTCTCAAAAATGTACATTTTTTAAGACGAATTGTTTGTAAAATCGCACATACGTAGCTGTCATTGTAAAGGGAGACAATTGTAGGACCACATTTTTTTTCTTTTGAAATTTTGGATTAAACGATTTGACACTACGTATCAAGTTTCTCATCAAGTCCTCTTCATTACTACTTCTAAAAACTTGGCGGAATTATTTTATGGTTTCAGGATGTATAATTATATGCATATAGCGTGTAAGAAAAAAGTCGCCAAAACACAATTATATAATATAGATGACCCCTTCCCACAATGATTAAGTTAGAAACAAATTGTTATCACATCTGTTACATTGCTGCTACTGTGTCGGAGCGTTGCGTATGTTGCCTATCTGAATATTGAAGGAGATCTTTCATTCAAAGTCTTTACGTTAAAATTCGAATAAATTACTCTCTCTTTTTTTGCATTATTAAATGTCTACCTTTTGGATACACGAAATGCATTCTGCGGGTTGCGTAATATAATTGTCACTAATTTACTAAATGTAATTAAAATATCGCAATTATATGTTGGAAAAACTGGAGTTTATACTGCATTTAATCGAAATTTTAGTTCAGTTTTTCTTTTGTTCCGTCCTACCTTAGTTCAAGTGAGAGTGACCTACTGATTGCGACCCACCAACGAGAACAGTGGATTTGCCATAAAAGTATTTGCTCCTCTACAGAAATATGTTTATTATTTAATTTTTGTCGCTTGACAACTTCGTATAATGAGCTCGTCAGCTCGTGTGATGGCGCACAATGGAACTAGTCATCAGAAGAGGTCGGACCAAAATTATTTTATTGGAATTGAAATTTTTTATGTTTATTTCGTCAAAATTTCAATTTCAGGGGTGTTACTGAAAGGAAATTTTAAAATAAATCCAGTGGAACCACATTTAAACATCTCCGTTTCATATATTCGAGGATATGAGGTTTAAAAATTTCCAAAGAGCAACGCCAAGAATGGCACAATTTAGGCCAGCGGGGATTTTTCTGAAACCGAGCCCAAACGATACCTTATGATACCCTAAAACTCTGGTTAAAATTTTAGCTTGAGTATACGCGCGGTTTTAGAGAAATGAGGGGGCAAAGTTGCCAAATCGCCATCATTCTAGACAGCATTTCTACAGCAAAAAGACGGGAAAAATGGACGAAAAAGTTACACCTTTGATGGGTTTCGGCTGTAAATGTTCTTTTTGGGCCCCCAAGCATTTAACTGTGTTCAGTTTCAAACATTTTGGTCGCACAGTGGTCCAAAATGGGGAGAAATTGTCGACAAATCAGGATTCTTTGTCAAATTTTTAAACATGGAAATAAAATTGTCGGTCTGCTGCAGTTTTCGTGGCTAACAATGTTCTTATCGGTCCTCTATGCATGAAATTGTGTTCAGCTTCACAAAACATCGCACAGTGGTCAAAAATGAGGGACTTAGTGGACAAATTAAAATCCTCTGTGAAACTTTTTAAAAATGAAGTGAAACTGTTGGTCCCCAGCAGAGTTTCGATCCCGGAAAAATTCTTTAAATTCTTTGCCAGTGCAACGTTACGTTCCACTGTGGCGCATTATAGATCCGACGCGCACATTGTAGGGGTTCCCCCAAGGTCGGGGGGCCCGTACCCCCTCGCCCAGTTCCTTCATCGTTGTGGGGAGCTGTGTGCTGTGTGGGCCTCCGAAATCGACGCTCGGAGGATGTTAATTGGTGCAAAGCAAGGCGCATGCGCATCGCATGCGGTCAGTAGCACTGCCAGAGCCAGACGCTTCGTCCTGAACCAGGCTCTGACCTTGATACATCGTCCGTTGCTGTGCCACGCCACGCTGCGGTCATATCAGGAATTCAGGATTGAAATGCGATATGACGCATAATATGACTGAGGGGTACCCTGCCATAAAAATGCCGTGTGAATCCTCAGGCGTTGCCAAATTTCCTTTGATAAAACACGAAATTTCATGGTAAACTCATACTCATAAAAGTAAGTATTTTCTCCCAGGAAATTAGGCAGCATTCTCAAATGCATTCTTCAATACTCATACTGCATTTTTCCTTAGCACGGCAATACTCCCTTCGGCTGCTACTCGGCGCAACCTGTAGGAGACGATTTGCGCCTTCAAAAAGCTATCACTGGATCGTGATTTAAAATTTTAAAAAGAACACACAATTTCAGAAAATTTTCGTTAAAAATTGTGGGGACTTTGTAATTTTCTGCAATTATGCTCCCCTTCTCTTCTCATTTAGCATTGCATAGAAAGAAAGTCTAGAGTTATATTTGAAGTCCAAATTTTCTGTGAGGGAGGGGGGGGGGCGAATGACACTATTTCAAACTCTTTGGGGGGCCAGAGAGGCAACTTCTCAATTTTTGTGATTTTGGGGTTAGATTTGCCAATTTTTCATACATTACAGTGTCATTGCAGCGCTCCCCCACAGAATTGGAAAAAACAGAAGCCATCAGCCAGAGGCGGATTCACACTGAAAAAAAACTCCGGCCGTGGGAACCGCAATTACGGGCTTTATGGACATACCGTCCATTCCGGGCTCAAAGGCCGAGAATTCCGGGTGCTGGAGCCGTAGCTTCGATTGCTCCAGGTTCAGAGGCCGAAGCTACGGCTACAGCAGCCGGAATTCTCGGCCTTTGAGCCCGGAACGGACGGCATGTCTGTATAGCCCGCAATTGCGGCTCCCACGGCCGGAGTTTTTTTTTCAGTGCAGCAATTAGACAACACCGGATTGCCTCCATTTAAACCTATGCAAAATAATCGATTTTTGTCGGAGCACCTGACCCCTCCTAAAATCGATACATTTTCCATAAGTTTAAACGGAGGAAATCCGGTGATGCCAAATCGCTGGATCCGCCAATGCCAAGCCTGCGTATATTATCCTGTAGAATGCAGCAAAGCCGTTGACTCATTTTTTTCAAAATTGTCAGTTGAACTGCATTTTGCAATTTGGAACTATAAATTCTGGCTCCTCTTGAAAAACACGTATGTGCATAGGGGAACTAATGGCACATACGTTGTTTTTAAACCGGGCTAGAATGTATAGTTCCAAATTGCAAAATGAAGTCCAGTTAGGTGGTATTGTTCCTTGGCCCCAGAGATTGAGAGTGAAATTTCGGGAAATTTCCGGAGGCTCGAATGTGTTTCGCAAATTTTGAAATTTGTTAATTTTTATCGGAATATAAGGTAAACCTTCGGAATTCCGGAAAGCGTTTCAAAAGGTCTTTCCTGTTGATGCGGCAGAATTAAGCTACCTTACTGAGGTGCCGTGTCAGGGCCGGATTAACATTTTTAGCGCCCTAGGCTAAACTTAGGGTGGCACCCTTAAAAGAAGGCGCTCTCGGGTGAGGGGGGGGGAGGTTCCCCTCAGACGCTCCTCCCCTCCAGATCAGAAAGAGGATGTTAGACGTCAGGAAAATGTTCAAATTCAACTTTAAAGAAACACGATTTTTAACAGTTTTGAGCCACACTTACGTTTGCAAGTTGGTTTTGGAAAATAAAAAGTAACGAAACACTCGTTAAATTAAAAAAAAAAATTCTCAAAAATGTTGCGCCCCTCAAAATGTTGCGCCCTCGGCTACAGCCTATGTTGCCTATTCCGTCCTTGTGTACACGAAGGGGGGGGGGGCACACAGGGGAGCTTAAAGGGAAATATAGCCCCAACCTAACCTCTATACCAAAGGAAAACATTTGCAACGCGAGAGTTTTAGGCTTCAGGTAAAAAATGTCCAAACCGAGAACCGCGGTATCTAGTCGTTTTTTCGTCTCCTAAACGCATCCCCAAAAGTTTAATGAAATTTCATATGTAAAATTTCATGGAATTTTCCATCTCTACTTAGCCCTCGATAAGCAGCACATCAACAAAACGCATGTTCCATTCGAACCGTGTTCATCCGAAAGGGACCAACCCATATTCAGCTGAAACTGAGAAAAAGAGAATTGAAGTTTTACGCCTGCATAAGGCAAGGCTCAATGCAGAAAATAAACTTTAACCCCTCTCTTCACAAACTAATTTCTGTTTTTCGACTTTTAAATTTCGGCAGGAGATAAAACAAACGACTATTGCAACTCAGAAACACTCTTAACTCAACATTTTCGAAAATGTGGGCTGGTTCCTTTCTGATAAATGAAATAAATTACACTTAAAGAACCATAACCTGGCAAATAATATTTAATTAATCAAAAATAACTTAAACCAATTAATGAATTATATATTATTTGCAAGGTTACGGCTCTTTAAATTTATTTTATTTATATTTGGACTTAATTTTACAATTAGGAACTATAAATCCTGGCTCACCCAAAAAACACGTATGTGCATAAGGATAAACTAATGGTTCGTGCGTTGTTTTTATACTGAGTCAGAATTTATAGTTCCTAATGGCAAAATGTAGTTCATTTCACTTTGCTCATTGCCTAAATCTTTGAATTTCTGATAAACTCGGTCCATTTAGTAATGCGATCCCGCAGCCACCTACATTACGGACGGTGCAGGGCAGATAATGTCAAGGCCGATCTCTAACCAAACAAGTACTCACGCTCGAAACTCCACAGGTGTTTTCACTTTCCAGTTGTTCGATTTCTGTTCCTTTCGGAGGGCACTCCGTGCATGCGTCCCGCTCACAACACCGAACACATCCCGAAAAATCTAAAAATTCGATAAAAACCACATTCGCGTCGAGGATCACACTCTAAAACCGAAACAGTTTCGTGGATAATGGCACTTTCTCCGTGGGAACAGGCGAAATGGAGGCTGGGTTTCTCTACTCGCGGCCGTGCATTGCCTCGCGAGACGGGACCGCCGGCTGATTCCTTGTTGCCGTGCTTATGGAGCAACACAGGAGTTTCAATGAGAATCGCTATAAAAATAAACGCGTTTTGCATGAGAGCCGGCAACTCGGCCTGATTGTTGATTGTTTGCCAGGCTCCGCTCACTGGGCTTGTCGCTCACCGGCGCGGCGCGCAGCGAAACGAGTCAATTGGGAAGTCGTGGAGTACCTATATTGAGAGAGTATGGCCACTGGTGTTACCACCTCTGATTGGCTCAGCCATCTTAGGCTGAATGGAGCCCTTGGGACCCAAAAATAGCGGACGCTATAAATTAATGTAATGCAAAATGACTCAAAATGTAGTTTTCTTTGCTTATCGTAACGAGAAATTTACCCAAATGCACTATTGCGACTTATTTACATATTTTTAAGGCTGATCGTGTGCAATTTTTGAGAAAAATTATCTTGGATGTAGTAAAGTTGGCAGCAAGTGCGGTTGGTGATAACCGTCAATAGTTGGCAATGACCCCCCTCCCATCCACGAAAACCAAAACAAAGCACCGCCACTTTTGGGTCCTAAGCCTCTCCATGGGGCCCAGTGGCCATACTCTCTCAATATAGGTACTCTAGGAAGTCGGACAAAACTTGAAAACTTTGTCAGCTTATATCTTCGTAAATGTGGAACGGAGAAATTTGAAAGTAGTTTCACTGATTTTTTCACAAAATTGCGCCTGAGAACACCCGTAACAGTTGGAATTGTGACGATATAGACATCAAATTTGCAATTTTAGTCAACAATTTCGTGTTCGACCTCTTCCAGAAGTTCTTTTCACTGTGCGACGGGAAGACGAAAATCCTTCGTTTCCCGAACGAAAGAGCGCGGCTCCATTCCGAGGTTGCTGAATTGACTCGAGCAGTTTCGTTTTTTACACAACTTGACCTGCGAAATTTTTCCCGGGAATATTTCAGAGTTTTCCATGAGATCAGATGCAAAATCAGTGAAATTTCAAGTTGGAAATTTCCGTGATTTTCTTAGTGAGAATTCAATTTGTGAGGGAAAATTTGGCGGCATTGTGATGTGGTTAGGATTTTTTGTGAGGAAGACGGCGAGTTATCTGAGTGGGGCCGACTCTAGCTATGACCCAGAGCGCGAAATCTACCAGATAAGCGATAAAGTCGGTAATAAAAGCGCTCAAGGAACATCAACCGCTCATCCTAACGGCAAACAGTTGATCGAGTTGATGGGAGAGGTCGGACAAAATTTGGAAACTTCAAACGCCCATAACTCCGTTTAAACAAAACTTTGAAGTTCTAAAAGTGGTTTTATCAGTTTCCTTGTGAAATTTTCTTCTGAAAACACCCCTTAAAATTTAAAATATGACGAGATAAACGACAAAATTTTCAATTTTATTCTAAAATTGTAGGTCCGGCCTCTCTAATTGGCCAGATCCACTGTGCGACATGGCAGCATCCTTTTATGCAAATGCTGTGCTTCGGAAACTGCTCAACTCGAAAATAATGCAAATGGAGATGTTGCATGTGTGAGAAATTTGACTGTTGATTCTATGGTAAAAGTTTCTTATTTTTAACTGCGGGGCTTTTTTTGGGAACTGAATGGCGTGCATCAAGAATATTTCTTATTATAGGCAGATCCAGGCACCTCGAAAGGAGGTATTTTTCATGACTGTGCCTTAAGTTTCATATTGTCTGATTAGAGTACGTTTTGCAGTTGGGAACTACAATTTCTAGCTCAGTTTAGAAACAGCATATGCGCCATCAGTTTTCCTTCGCTGATAGGTCTTTTTATGCGCTGAAAACAAAATACTTGAGATATTATCTTGACTTAAAGCATCGTTTCTTGTCGACAAAATTTGGTTTTATTGAATTAAGTCCGTGTGAATTTAAATTCCTGTTAGTCAGTTCTTTTCAGTTAAAGAAACGATGTTTTTTTATCGATAAGTTTAAGTTAAAAAAAGAACGATACCAAAACAACGTTTCTTCAATTTAAAAAAAACTGACTTTAAGTTAAATCCGCACGGATTGAATTAAAAAAAAAAAAAAAACTCAAATTTTGTCGACAAGAAACGACGGTTTAAGTCAAAAAATGTATTGAGAAATCATTTTTCAGTGTGAATGAACCAGAAATTGCAGTTTCTTATGGCAAAATGCGGTCTAATTTACATTCGTCAAATATGCCCCACGATTCCATGACTACTCCGCCATGGAAAAGCACATAAAATGGATTAGATTTTGCATTAAGGAACCACTATCGGTCCCCAGTCAGTTGACCTACAGCAGTGGCGTGGCGTAAATAATCGATTATCGATATCTCGTTATTTGAAGCTACGGTAAAGAATCGATTACTAAGGTGTTCCCTGCGACCACCCTGGTAATCGATCTTTTTTCATAGGTTTGCCCTGGTAAAAATTGGCAGTAGAATCTGTGTTCCAAAATACCATAGACCTACAGCCGGCTGTAAAATTTCAAATAGCTTCTATAGCCGGCTACACAATTTCTTATAGCCTTTTATAGCCGATGGCGATTAAGAAACAGTCAGGCGATAAAGTGTGCGCTAAACGTTTCTAATTACGGATGCTAGGATTTAGTGAGTTTTTGGAATACTGCTCTCTTTTTGGGCCGTAGTATCTTGATTTATTTTGCGAGGACAACTCCGTACTTTGGAAGGATGCCTATCATTACTAATATATTAGAGCGCCTTCAGTTTCGTATGATACTGTGCAATACCTCTGGTGTGAAATAGTTGCTTCAAGCGCCGTGACAGGCGGGCAGCCAGCGCGAAACACGCATTGGCGCCTACAAACCTAACAGGGATACTTCACGCGTTGCGCAATGCGTGAAGTATCCCTGTTAGGTTTGTAGGCGCCAGTGCGTCGCCGCTCCGCTTTGTGTTAGGCTCTAATATTTAATCTGGCGGAGTCAGCGTTATTCAACTCATGATTTTGAAATGTTTGCACATACAGTATGGATTATTCTCATTTTAATTGATGAAAAAAAAATGTATTAAAGGAAAATATAATGTGTTTTTTGTAAATATTAAGGTGGTTCCGTATCAAACTTAATGATTTCCAAAGCACATACGAATTTCTACACAATTTCTTACAGCCTTTTATAATCGATGGCGAAAAAGCAACAGCCTGGCTATAAAGTGTAAAGCCCGGCGATAGGAACTACAGCCCGGCTGCATAATTTTTTATCGCTTCGTATAGCCCGGCCGTACGATTTTCTCCGCACTCTACAGCCAGCCATATGATTTTCTGTAGCCTTCTTTAGCCGGCTATAAGAATTCCTATGGTATTTTGAAACGCAGCCCTTATCGCCAATTTTTACCAGGGTGATTGGCGTATCAATCGATATATCGCAAAGCACGCAACGCCACTGATCTACAGATTTTTGGCCTACAGGACACTTGGCCTACGACATTTAACCTAAGTTATTTTCACCTTCGCTGTTTGGCCTCCAATACAATTTGACCTACGCGTTTACCTATCTCTGACTCTCCCATAAAATCACATATCTACGTTGTTTCTATAATGGGCCAGAAATAAAGGTTCCTGATGACAAAATGAAATTAAAATGTATTCCAGATTTTCATGCATGTGCACGGTGTAGCATATGTTCCGAAGCCTTGTCAGACAACCAACAGCCTTTCTCCCGTTTGAACGACATTATTTATAACATGATTTTTATCTGAAACGGATGTAGTGGTATGAAAGGGGGATGCTTGACACATGTTGTCGTCTGCCGCACAAAGGAACGTAAAACGGTTGCCAACATGACTCGGGCGATCCAATTTTTGACGAGGATATGCCGGAGGGTATGGATTCGGTCGACATGAATCGATCGAAAATGAAAACGTGACTCGATCGACGACCGTAAGTCGATCGACAAAAGTCGCGTGTCGATCGTCAAAAAGCCGCAAATCGATTGACAAACCCGCGAGTCGATCGAAAAACCCGTGAATCGATCGAATTTTGTCGATCGATTCGGTGTAGATTGAGTCACGTTCGCGGATTCACGTTTTTGTTCCGGATCGATACGTGTCGATCGAGTTGACACCGGTTTTTTTTTTTAATAATTTGTAGATCGATTCACGCTCTCATTTTTCGGTCAATGCATGTCGATCGAATCCAGCCTCTGGATATGACTGTGCGATTTCAGTCCAAAATTTTGCTGATTTTATCATGAAATCAGAGGAAAACTCGACGACGCTTTCAATTTGGAATTTTCGAAATTTCCCTGTTAAAGTAAACCAGGTTCGCACTCGAAACCACGGTGGAATCATCCTACAAACAAAAATAATCCATTCTACCGGGGGATCCAGTGGCGTGGCGTGAATTGCGATATATCGATTGTTATGCCATTTAAACCTATGGAAAAAGATCGATTATCAGGGCGTTCGCAGCGAACACCTTAGTAATCGATTCTTTACTATAGCTTCAAATGGCGATATATCGATAATCGATCCTTCACGCCACGCCACTGGGGGGATCCCGATCTCCCTAGTAGCCAAAATAGGATTATCGAATAGGTATCGGCCGGATAGGCTATTTTATAGCTATTTATTTTGTTATTTTATACGGTATCGTACAAATAGCATATTTATAGATATTTCATAGATATTCCATGCGCATTTATCTTGGTTTAAAATTTCCGTTTGAGAATATCGACGGTATGAAACTACCAAACCACGTATCTCGGTTTGCGACGTCGCAGACTTCCTGCCATACTTTATTTTTTAAATAGAGAACTACTCAACGTCAATTCGTGAAAACTTCCTTGATTTTTCCTCTTTGTGCGGAGAAAAATCTGTGAAAATTGTAAGGAATGATATTAATTTGATCTCCTTCAAAAAAATAAAATGTGATTGGAGATTTTTAAACACCGCAAACGAGATACGTGGTCTGGTAGTTTCACCGTCGATATGTATTTTATAGCTACTTAATACGTTTTTTTCTTCTTTCAAGCCACTCATCCTGTTGCAAGGGTCACATACCCAGTTCCCAGTTAGCATCTAATCTTCCGAAAATATCCGTACAAAATCCGGCACCTTTACATCATTTAAGAATATTGCGGACAATATTTTCACAAAAAGTCTTTACTGACTTTAAGACTTTATTTGGACTATTAAATTAAGGGAAGTCATGTACTTTATGGGGAAGTGAATAATTTAAAACACTAAATGGGTGGAATAAATTGCATCATTCAACCTTCAAATTTAAGAAACCCAAGAATTATTGTGTATTTTCTTATACATGTTAGTGAATTTTCTTACTATTCTTAGTTGCAGCCTTGAGAACCATAAGATGATAAGTGCATTGCAACGTTGCTATGATAGAGCAACTTTATTTTTTGCAAACCAAAATCATATAGAATTGCAAACTTCAATGAAAAAAAAAAAAAAAAAAAAAAAAAAAAAAAAAAAAAAATCAGCATAGCCCAGGGAATTTTTGCTAAAAAAGTTTCGCCTCTACATGGTTTTGATTTGCTGCATTCATCGTATACAGTTGCACAATCTTGGCAACGTATCAATGCACTTACCACCTATGATTTTCAAGGTCTCAATTTTGGTTCTCTTTCAAAAGTAAAATACCTTTTTAATAGGTTTCCATATACCTATTAAATAGCTATTCAGATACCTATTTTATAGCTGTAGAGAAAGCTATAAAATACGGTATTTATAGTTGAAAAAAAGGACACTATATAGGGTATTTAGATAAGATATTTTATATCTATTTTCAGCCATTTTATACCCTCTTTTATAGCTATTTGGATACATATTAAATTGCTATTTCGATAAGTATTAAAAATAGTATTTTGGCTACTAGGGTTGTTTTGTTGACCCACATCTCAAGTTCGAATGCACCGGCCCCATAAAACCTGAGGGGCACGTATTGTCGGCGATCCTTGGGTAAGTTTGACCCGGCTTGGGGATCTAAGGGTTAAATTTCGTCATTTGGCGAAATCTCAGTGCCTGTGTCGTTGCTTGTAACTGGACGAAGTAAAATCATTTTAATCAATAACCAAGTACTAAGTAAACTATTGGTTCAAATAGCATTGCACGAAAAAAAATATCGGGCAAACTTGAAAGTGGACCACAAAAACTTTGGACCAAACGAAATTAGGTAAAGAGTCTGGCCACCATTGGTGAGGGATATCGACGGTGAAACTACCAAACCACGTATCTCGTTTGCGGTGTTTAAAAATCTACGCTCACATTTTATTTTTTTGAAGTAGACCAAATCAATATCATTCCTTGAAATTTTCACGGAATTTTCTCCGCTTAAAGAGGAAAAATCACAGAAATTGTCAAGACTGGATGTTAAGTAGTTTTTCATTTAAAAAATAAAGTATGACAGGAAGTCTGCGACGTCGCAAACCGAGATGCGTGGTTTGGTAGTTTCACCGTCGATATTCTGTCGTGCTGAGGAAAAATCCGTATGAGTATTCAAATGTTGCCAAATGTCCTCTGTGGAAAGATCAAATTTTGAAAATTGCTCTGAATATTTTTCCTCGAAATTTTCAGACTTTTTGGATCAATTTGCGGACGAAAGCCTTTACAAATTCGGAGAAGGAATATGCACAAATTTACCTGAAAATTCGTGATTTGTCGAGGGGAATCTGGCAACACCCAATGACTCATGCGGCGTTTTTTCTTAGCACGGCAGTATTGTTGCTGAATTACAAATCTATACTATACTAGCCGTTCTGGGCGCGCTTCGCGCGCCCGTCACGCCTAGCCGGGGGCTACGCCCCCTGGACCCCCGGTCACTC